GGCACTTGGCCTTGTTGAACCTCAACATTTTTTAAATGTTTTCAGTCAGTTTTGGGGGTTCTTTTGGCATGCAAAGAAAACCTGAAAAGGTTTTCTCTCTTTTTTGCATTTCTTTATATGCTTTTTTTCACCTTCCACTTTTTTCTCTTGGCACTGAAAAAGATAGCGACTGCTTGAGAAGTGTGAAAATGTGTTTAACAGTTGTTTTCAATGTAGTGGAAACTTCATCTAAAACTAAAAATAATCTCATATTAAATTATTTTTAGTTTTAAATGAAAAAAATGCAAAGAGAAAAATGATTGACTTACTGCTGTTTCAAGTGGGTACTTTCACTATGAAAACTTTCAACAGAGTAAAAGTAAGTGTGGTACTCTAGCCACGCAGATGGCACTTTGAATATCTTGGTTTTAATTTTTTTTTTAACCAGTTGATTAAAATTGTGTACTAAACTATACTTCCTTAGGGAATAGATGCTCTCATTAAGAGGCTGATTCGCTTTTATGGGACTACTCAAAGTGGATTTTATTTTTGCTTTAGGTCCTTATCTCCAGCATTTAGGATTCCAGAGCACCACAGGCAAAGGCATGCTCATATTAATTATGACTGTGAATATAAAACCTTTCGTAAGGACCCAAAGAAGCCTATGCCTTGGAGAACAGAAGATGAAAAATATGGACAAAGCAATTCCAGGTTTGCACCTCATGGAAATAACCACCAGAGAATATATGAACGTAGATCACCTTCACCAAACCTGAAAAGAATTCCCATGGAAGATAGCTACAGTCATAAGCCCTACAGAACACATTCATCTGAAAGAACTGAAAGCAATAGGAGATGCCAGTTACCACCAAAATACTCAGAAATACCGTATAAAGAACATGATCGTCCATTTTACCAACACAAAATGGAAGACAGATACATGTTTGAGCACTACAAAGTCACTGGAAATGAAAAAGGAATGAAACCTTTTCATAGACCGTTAGGGGCTTCATGTAAACCTGAAAGAAAATGGCATGAAGATGACTTGAGGCACCAGAGGTTACATGAAGAGAAGTATGGTCAGTCACCCAGAAGAGTTTCTGATGAATTTACGGCAAGGAGCTCTTTACAGAAGAGGTATAGGAATAAAATAATTAAAACCTGGGTATTGTGGTGTAAAGCCTCAAGTGAAAGTCTGTTTTCATTATAGGTGAAGATATCCACCTTGAAACACGTTGGCCACTTTGTAGTTTAATTATGGGCGACTGGTAGTAGTGAAGTATTTGTCTTTTAAGTAAATCGTATTGATGGCTAGAGTATGAAAGGATAATATTTCCCTCTTAAGAGCCCCTGCACATCTGTACGTTGGCGTGAGGGATTATGGGTTAACTTGCCACGCATTCTGCTGTCCAACATTCTGCACATATAAGTTCTCGCTTTCTTCTCTAGTGCAAGTGTAAATTGCTTTATGTCAACACAGGTATCCTGAAGATCACGATTACAGAGAATATGGGCACACGTCTAAAAGGGCTAAAGAAATGGAGAGGTATGACGGTGGAGAAGTAACAAGAAACTCCAAGTGGAAGCAAGAACGTTCTTTTCCACCCTACCAAGAAAAGGAGGAGCAAAGAAATCTGGGTGCCCAGTCCCACCGATCGGCTGAAAGGGAGTACTCAGAGGGTGCTGTCACAAAGATAGCCTATGAGTACAGTCACAAACGGCGCAGGCATCCGGATGGGGAAAAGGCTTTTTCAGACGATAGAGCTCAGAAGTATGTGAAGCAGGAAGACCAGAAATACGGTTCATCTAAGGGTGCCCGGAATAGCAAAGAGCTAGATTACTTTAGCGGTGGAAGAGCGAGACGGACTGAAGAAGGGCACGTCGAAGTACCTGTTAAATATAGTTCAAAGAAGGCCTGCAATGCTTGTGTTAACTCTTCCAAAACGGATGTTGGTCTGAGATCTTTTAAAAACAAACCGAAGGAAAGAGTAAGGAAAGAAGGGGAATTCAGGAAAAAAGTAGATTCCTCCGATAGCCAGCACGATTCAAGTCACACTGTTTCAGATGTGAAAATGTCAGATGTCAGCTGTAGGAGGGAACATCTCACAATCAAAGTGGATATGAAGAAAATGGTGACCAAGTACAGGTATTGGTTTACCCTCACCTCTTCCTTCTTCTGTCTCTTTACAGTTTATGAATACTGGAGGAAAGCACGGTTTCTTTAAGAGGTAACCAGGACAAACTAAGGTTGTGCTTTTTTAATTTTATTTCATTTAAAATGTTAACTTGCCCAGACTGGAAACTTGCAGCCTACCTCTATTAAAAAAACAAAGAAATCCCCCTAGTTCATTTCATGGAGATGTAGTAAGAAGTGGAAAGAGCAGATATGGCTGATACAAACCTGTAGTTCAAAGTTGCTTATGATCAGTAAATGTGTTACTGTTATTTAAAAACAAAGAAACAAGCAGAAAAGCCTAGTCCTGTACTTTCTTCTGGGATATGATGACATTTTTTTGACTGAGTCATCCCTCATTTCTTCTAAAAACCAGATAACCTTTAAATTACATAAGTCTTAGGCATACATTCAGATGTTCAAGATCTCAAGTTCAATAAAGCTGTCGAAAAATTAGAGATCCCTGGATTATGTTGTTTATTGTTGTAACAAATGAAGTGGCAATCTGTTGAAGCTTCAGAACTGAAAAGCAGTGGAGTCTGCTTCTGTCTATCTTCCGTGTAATACTTGTGATTGCCTTTCACATTCTGCCCCTCTGCTCACCATGGCTAGGACAAGCATTTAACTTCCTGAACGATAATGTAAGAAAAATATCATAATTGTTGTTGGGTTTTGTTGCAAGCCCACAGGACGATTCCTGTATCTAGTAGCCTCTTGCTGCTGTTTTTGAAAGTCATGCGCAATGGATGTGGTAATTATTTGCAGACTGAAGAAACTACTACATTGATTAGAGCTAATTTCATGTGTGGAAGGTTTGCTTCCGCAGCCAAAAGTGCCAAATACCTTGTTTTTATAAAGATGAGAACAGTAATTTTGCAGAAACTGATGACTGGGAATATTTGTGCTGCCTACTTCAGGCATTTAACAAACACCTGACTTGAAATGACTCAGCTGAGAAGAGTACTTTCTTTATAAACCTGGGGAGCAGGTAGATAATTCAAATCACCTACAATTGAGATTGTTTGGATTCCCTCTTGCATGCATTTATTTCCAGTTTACTGGGGGCAAATAAATGACTTCTGGCACCTGCTAGAGGCTATTTCTGATACAATTTTTGTATGAAAGTCTAGTCTCGTATGCTTCAAATACAGGATGGGCAGGCCCATAATCACTTTGCAGAACGCACAGTAAACAGAGTCTTTATCCTAAAAGATTTTACATGGGCTGTTTGAGTCCTCAATTTATCTTTCCAAATGACAGGCATTTTCTTTGCAACGAGAACAGCAGGATTTTTAAAGTGTTAGCTTCCTTGTCAAAATAATTCTTAAGTAGCAATGCAACCATTTGGGCATAAACTTACTTAGAATCAGTAAAATTTGACAAAAAGAGGCTAAACACATTCTTAAGTTCACACACTGCCACTGGAAAGCTGTTTCACTAGGCTCAAGTGATGATTCAGTTCCCAAAGATGCTGTGGTTTTTTGTTTTTTTTTTTTTTTTTTTACATCTCTGAACTGTTCCTCAGAATTGTCTGGTATCTCCTTATAAACAAAGACATACACATAAATGCCTATCTGGAATGATATACTGAAGAAGTATATCATGATCTTAATTTGCCTTTATTTGATAATCTAGACGAATTAAGTTTAAAATTCACAAATTTTGTATTACATACTTCACTGAAACAAGGATTCCTGAGAGTGCAGTTATATATGTTTGTATTCTATTATAGCTTTTCTTCCTTATGGCCTTATGATTTTTTTAATTAAAAAAGGAACAAAATGAGATTTCAGTTTCATCACATTTATTCCTAAAATGAAACTCTTAAATTATTGGTTTGTTCTACTTGTCTGTTTGAAGTTTTCAGATATAGTGAATTCTTTTAAAGTGAGTATCTGCAACTTTTTATTCTAGGACCGCTTCTAGTCATACTGCAGAGAGACAGATGTCCCATGATCTGGTTGCTATTGGCAGGAAAACTGAAAATTTTCATCCGGTGTTTGAGCACATGGAATCTGTAACACAAAATGTTGAAAATGACCCATCAAGAGAATTTACTCAGGAAATAATCACAATTATCCATCAAGTTAAAGGTGGCTGTAATATTTGGGGTATATGTATGTGTTTATATATTTATAATTATTAAAAACAAATCTAATGAATTAGATATGCTGTCCTTGTAAGTCTCGGGTGTTTGCCTTTGGCTTCATTTGTATTTTGGCTTCATTCTGTATTGTTTAAGGAAAATGTAGGTTGAGGATTTAAAGTAGTTAGGTGGAGAATGATTGTAAGGTCTCAGTCCATAATAGAGGCATTATTGTGGAGTGTTAAGGTTGAAAGGATTTTATGCTAGTACTTAAGACTAACTTGCTTGTTTAGGAAACAAGAACAAAGGAGCTTTGCTGTAGTCACAACTTCCTAGTTGTGACTAATTTTTAATATAGTTCCTTTAATTTTTCAGATTAGTGTTTAGACTGCTACATCATGTTCAGTGTTGAACTTTATTTATAGATTCCAGTCATTCCAAGTACTACCATGATAGAGCTGACAAATAGTTATCTTTCTATTGAGCTTAATCTTATTTAATAAGAAGGATGTCTAAGCTGGGCTGGCCTAATCTTTCATTTGTGAATGTTAAACTGCAAGCAGAAATAATTTGAAATTTAATCTCAGAAGTTGTCTTGGCATCCTTAAGCGTTAATCTTTTAAAAGGTACAATTTCCCACTGTGCATTTCAAATGCTACAAATAAACAGTCCTGTATTTAATATCTCTCCACAGCAAATTATTTTACATCTTCTGACATAACTCTACATGAACGGTTCTCAAAAATTCAGGATAAACCAATTGCGAATACGAATGAAGTTAAAATACGTTTGGATCCAGAAATTCACAGGTAATTGATGTGCTTTTTACCTTAGTTTATTTGCATTAAGGTAATTAATCTTCAGTAGACTTTACACAATGTAAAGTGTTTTTTCACTGACTCTAACCTACCTGCTCATAGTCTATTAAGAATTCTGTAGTTGGTCAATAATGCTTTTACTATTTATAGTGATAGCGCTTGTTTTTATGTAATGTTTCTGTGTTCCAGGAGGATTGACATGTCTCTAGCAGAACTTCAGAACAAACGAACTGTGCCATCTGAATCTCCCCAGGTATCTTGATTACTTAACTTTTTTTGGCAAACAATGGATTAAAATGATATGGATGTAAACAACATTTTCCCCTTGCTGTTGGTACATCATTTTACATGCTTTGAAGACTATCAGTAATTTTTACTATTTTGAAAGAAATGCACACTTAAGCATATTTACAGATACCATAATGGTGTAAGAACACAAGTCACCGTGTTCGCTGATGAGTAAAATGCAGGTGTGTTCTCCAGAGTAGCTGGAGCATGGTTATTCCTGCTGCTTGAACCCCTGCCTGTTTTTAAATAGTGTGAGTAGGTGACTGACAGGTGGTTCTTATGTTGCCTCTGAGATTAGAAAAATCCTTAACATTTCTTCTACCCTAATGTTAGAATGGCCCGACATCCATGCAATTGCTCAGAATTCTATTTTATCCCATGCTTTCATCCAGGGACATAAGATTTTCTGGCTTCCCCTTTCAAGCTATACTTACTGTGATTTTGTTACTGTGGGGTTTTTTTTCTATAGTACAGGTATGTGGACATTCAACTTAAGAATAGCAGAACTTCTTAAGATTTACTGGAATTTATGTGAACATTTTTGCCTTAAACTCCATACTGAATTCCAGTGCTCTGTTTGCTGCTGTTTGGAAACTTGTAGAAAGGCAGGTGGTACAAGAAAGGGTAGTTGTTTGGGACTACTTTTTGTTACTATTTTGGACTTTGGATCCTTGGGTTGATGTGCATCTGTCCTATGTGCAGATAGTTGAACTGCATTAACAAGGTTATATACTGGATGCAGCCCCTGAAGGACAGGATCATGTCATTGTTTAGTTATTACTAGCTAACTTGACTTTTAATTCTTCCTCTTAATTAGAACATTATGAGAGTGTTAGAAGACCCAAATGATCTACGGCATGATATAGAGAGAAGGAGAAAAGAGAGATTGAAGCATGAAGATGAGAGAGTGTTTCATGTAGATGGTGTAACTCCAAGGTAATTAGCAAATAACAATCTTGTTGGCCCAAGCCTGTCTTATACGTTCATTTTTTTGACTCTTCCACAGTTATATTCGCAATTGGTGTGATTCTTTTCCATAGTTTGTAAGTTTGACTCGGACTGAAATTCAACAGACATACATTGCAAACTACTCTGTAATGGAGTGTGACCTTGCAAGATGTTGAGCTGCAGTGGGAGAAAATGAAAGGCAAGCTCAAACTGTAGTACTGGAGGGGAAGAAATAAAGACACTTAACTATTTTTAAACTCCTTGATGTGCCATATAGCAACATTCTCTTGGTATTTTGTAGTTTCATAAAAGCATTCTAGGACAAATACATTGCTGTGTTGCCCTGGTTGTGGAATGTCAGCAAAGAATTGGAATTTTTCTGATTCTTGGAGAATTTTATGAAGAAAAGCTAGATTTTTAGAATAGCTTTTTACTGCTATGAATTCCTTCAACAGGTTTGTTAAGGTGTTTGCCTTAGAGGTGTTTTCTAACCTCAGTCATCCTGTTTCACTTTTGATGTTGTGAAGTTGGTTGATTGCAGAGATGACTGTACTTATTTGTGTTAGAAGAAATGTTGATTAAAGAATTGCCAGGGTGTAATGAAATGTATCTAACCTGTAGTCACAATTTGCAGATCGCTTGTAATATGCTGCTGTTTGTTCATTTTAGATGCCGTCTATAGTGGCAAACAGTGGCAATGCACACATATTTGGGAAAACTGACTTGTGAAGCTGCAGAAGAAATATTTCTTGTACTTGAGATTCTTTGAACAAAAAAAGGAAAAGTAACCAAGTGGGGGGGAAAAATATTGAACTGTTGTGTATATATAGCCTTTTATATACCTGGGGCTATGTCTTTAGTGTATATTTGGCCTGATTATCTGGGAAGGCTTTTTTTTGCCACTTCCACAGTTACTGTCTTGCTTACCTTTTGTGTATGCCTCTCAAAGCAGGAAGCACAAGTTTCTCTAGTAAGTGTGGCTGTCCTGGAGTTTGATGTGAGGGGGGGTTATGCTGTCAGAGTAACGTGGACGGTGTAATGTGGGTTGAGGGCAGTAATGGTATGAACGATAGGTAGAATTTTCCTGAGATCTGGGGTTTTCAGTAGTTCACCTGTGAGCTACTGGCAATGCCTATCAGCTAGTCCAGTGTGCCTCTATTTTTGCCTTAGTAATTTATTTTGCAGCTATGAAAATGGTTTCTGTATGTTTTGTGAACTATGAATTTTGATTTCTGGTGGCTACTTTTCACAGTATATGTTTTATTTAGAGGTTTATGGACACATCTGTATTGGCAATGTGCTCAGTGAAAAAAAACAAGCAAGCAAAAGCCCAAACACCCTGCTTGCTGAGGATGAAACTGGAGCACCTGCCTATTTATCTGAGCTTCTGCCGGATTTGGGATTTCATGAAATGGGAAGTTCTGTACAACTTTAAAGATAGTACAGGAGAAAACAACTGCTGAAGTGCAGTAAGCATTTCAACCGGCGGAGGGCGGCAATGCCCAGCCATACAGGCCTAGTGGGGTGAGCCAGGGAAACCTCTTTGCATAGTGAGGATTTCAAGGCGGCAGAGTATCTCTGTTAATTTGTCATTGCAGAAGAGAATACAGCTTGTGATACAATTCTGTGAAACTTGTCCTTGAATTTAGCCAGAGGACTAGTAATTTGTCGAATGTCCTAGAAAAAAAATTACTTAAAAACTGTCACTTTGCACTTCTAAGTGATACAGATGCTGGACTAAGGTCATTTAAAATACAGAGTTTTGATACGCTATGGCTTTAGATTTTAATTGTTCTCTCTCTCTCTCTTGCACATACACATCAGGAACCAGCAAAGCTGCAGTCTTTCAAAATTGCAAAACTCTCAACTTGATGGCTTCCAAAAGCCTATGAGGTTCATTAAGCCACCTTTCAGGAAATTTATTGGGAAACCTCACCTGGTAAGCTTAAATGTAGAATTAGTAGCTTCCGCCTTTGTTGTTCTTACATTTATAATTCATTTTTTTTGCATTGTCTATGCTGATGTAAATTTAACAATCCGTGATGTCTTGCCCTTTTAAATTTCAAGTGAGGCTTTATTATCTTCAGACTTTGCTCAACAATAAACCTGCTCATACTTTAGCAGTTCTAGTGCTGTACTTCCTCAGATAGTTGTTGAAGCATAGATTAATACAAGTGAGCTAAAACCACTTTTATGGCCAAGTGCTGATACAACAAAAATAATTCTTTTGCTTTTGCACACCTGTGCAGTAGTCCATAACAACTTTGGTACTGTTTTTTATAACCTAGTAGCGAGTTGGCCAGGGATTTGTTGTTTCAGCAAGGTAGTTTAGATTGCTATGTTGGGTGAAATCAAAACATTTTTTTCAGCTAGTTCGGAAATAAGGTGGTCAACTTTAGACCTCTTACTGAATAGCAGGAACAGGTCAAACTTAAACTTTTGAGCTAAATCTTAGGTTCAAAATGACTTACTGAAATTAATTGACTAAGGGGCTTTATGAAATAAAAACTCCTATTGCTTGTAGCTTTGTAAAATAAATTTGTACGTAATACTGCATTTCTTCCACTTAATGATGTACTACCTAAACTATAAATTAGAAGGCCTTATTATTGAGCAGAAACCTGAGGTAATATGGAACAGTTTGAGAAAAAGACTACTCTACTGCGTTCTAGCTGTCAGCGGTTGGAAGGGAAGGTCTGAATCTTGCTTTGTGTAGGTGGTATTGTTACTAAAACAGTGTTTCTCCTCATTATGATAAAAGTTCTGGGAAGCTCTTATTTTAAAACCAAATAAAAATGAGAAACAAATTATGGAAATAGAGATGTCTGAAATAATGTTCCTGAGTATGGAATGTTATACAATGGAATAGCTTATCTGTGTTGATACCGTGTTTATCAAAGCTAGTTTGGGCACTTATTCTTTTTTAGGCTATCTTTCTGTGATGTACTTTAGTACTACAATGGGGCAGAGAGTTATATTAGGTTCAGTAGAAACAAATTGGTCTCTTTTGGAAAATTCCTTCTAAATAAAGTCTTATTTCCAAGTGTTTGTGCTTGTTTAACTTGGGGAACTGGTGAGACCAGTAAAGCTTTATTAATGTGTGCAGTATAATTCTAAAACCTTTTTTTTTTTTTCTGGTGGGTGCAAAATAAGGAGGAAACTAATGTAAATTGTCATTCTTTATATGTTGCAATTAATATACCCTATGGAGAGGGTTCCAAAAGACCATGAAACTTTTGAGGTCCCTCAGAAACAGCTTTTATTTAGTCAAAGTTCTAGCCATCGCTGGAATGTAGCTGCCTTGCAGATACAACAGTGCATCTTTCAGTGTAAAAGAACACAAGTTTTTAATGGTAAAAAATATTACTTATTCAAGGCTAAGATTGAAGTCCCCAAAACAAGTTGTTTAGTCTGGCGAAGAGGAGGCTGAGGGGTGACCTTACAGCTCTCTACAGCTACCTGAAAGGAGGTTGTAGTGAGGTGGGTGTTGGTCTCTTCTCCCAAGTAGTTTGCGGTAGGACAAGAGGAAATGGGCTCAAGCTGTGTCAGGGGAGGTTTAGATTGGAAGTTAGGAAAAATTTCTTCACAGAAAGAGTAGTCAAGCATTGGAACAGGCTGCCCAGAGAGGTGGTAGAATCACCATCCCTGGAGGTGTTCAAAAAATGGGTAGACGTGGCACTTTGGGACATGGTTTAGTCTAGTCTACCCTTGATTGGTTTAGTGTGGACTTGGTAGTGTAGGTTAATGGTTGGACTGGATGATCTTAAAGGTCTTTTCCAACCTAAACTATTCTATGATTCTAAGTAGTAATTGCTCATTAAGTAATATAGTAATTGCAAATAAAAAGGGAGTTAGTTTGAAATAGAAACTGAGTTGTTATTGTTAGATGTGCTGAAGATACAGGAAGATTGCATTTTGATATCTAATAGCAAACTACAAACATGCCATTTTTAGAAAGCCCTGCACTGCAGTGAGGAGTATCCATTCAGAACAACAGTAGCTATGGAAGCACAGGTGTCACAAATACAAGGCATCCTAAAGAAGGAATGACTCTTCATGAAGTCAGCCATGCAGAAGCTGGTTTGCAGACAAGTGGGAAGATAAGATACTTTAGTTTGCCATCTACATTTGTCAGTAAAAATAGAATTAATCAGTGCTCACTAACTGGCTTGGAGGGCTTACAGACGTTTTGCAAATGTGTCTGCAGTACATCAGGTGGCACTTCTTAATTGCATCTCCTCTTCTGGTTTTGTGTTTCTATTCTTGCCTTTTGATTCTTATTCTGCTCCCCTTGTCTGTTTTCCCATTTATCTAGCATGTCTAATGTTCCTGTTTATCTAGTATGTCTAATGCTCAATATGCAAAGTAATGCAGAAAGAGGGCAGAGCAGATCACTAACACAGGTAACTCCTCTCTGAGGCAGTACAAATAATTCAGCTGAATAAGCTAGCTCTGGTAGTGTGGCACTTCCTGTGACATGTAGACATGTTGTAACAGAGTTGGTGCTCAAAATGGCTTTCCTTGAAGGAGTTCTTCAGGACTGGGTGTGATTGGAGAAGAGCTCATCCTGGTGGGCAGTAGCTCAAGCTCAATCTCCATACGTGTAAGCTGCTAACACTGCTGTAGCATTTGGTGTGGGAGTAAAGTGGAGTGGCATCCAAGCAGCCAACTGTAATTTCAGCCACATGTATTATTTCTGTGTTGAGTAGGTGAGTAACAAATTCAGAGCTGTGTGACTGTGTTCACTACTACTTTGTTTGGAAGTGTAATATTAGTAGAGTTGAAAGCAGCCTTAGAAACACAAAAATGAATGAAGGTAAAGACCATTTGTGGCTGCTTTCTGCAAGGACAAATGTTTGGAATTCGATACAAGACTCTCTGAATGGCAGAATACTGCAGTTCAGGTGTTAACACTGCTGGGCACCTTGAAAAGCATAAGGACTGCGACTAAAAGGCAGTGTTCAGAGAACAACACATTGGATTTAAAAAGTGTTTTGATGGGTCACCGCACCATTGATGCTGGGTTGACCACACCTTTTTAAATAAGATGCATCCTAAAGTGCAGGATATATTACTGGGGCACAGCAATACATGGTAAAACAGAGGAAGAGTTTGAAACATTAAGCAAGAGCTAAGATGATAGTCATTGAATAAGAAAGTAACATTTTTGTGGTTTTGCTCAATCTTACAGATTCTGGGGTAGATTTGGTTCAGTTGGTTTCACAGTCCAAGCAGAGCTCTCCAGTTCTTGTGGGAAGCTGTTTTATGCTGCAGAAGAGATGTAGCAATAGTACATTGTATTGGCAAAATTGTAAAGGTGTGGGAAAACACATGAAAATGTATGCAATAGAGATCTCTTGCCACTTTTGTTGAATGGATGATACTGGTCATTTGGGTTAAAATTAAACATGGAAATGGTATTAACTTGGTTGCCCTACTTTTGGTATCCCATGATTAACTGACAGGAACTTTCCAGTGCAAGGCATGAGCATATTTTACAGCAGGCCAGTGAAGGGGAGAGCATTTCTTGTGTTAATGTTCAGTAACTGGGGGTTGAGCTTAAACTTGAGAAGTACTTGTGCCTTGAAGGTGCAAATGTCTGTCTAGCTTTGATTGTAAGAAATGTCCATTTAGCTTTGTATCTTGTTGACAAAAAGAGGGTAGCTAAAAAGTTAGATGATCAGAACAAGTACATATTTGTACTTCCTCTCCCCCCCCCCCCCCCCCCATTTAAAACCTATGGTTTAGGAAATTCCTGAAGAGTAGATTGCTGTATCTTTGCATTAGGTAGTTCTAATGTTTCTGTTTGCATGAATATCCTTGAATGTTGAGGGAGGTGGGGCAGTTAATTGAGACAAGCTTTCTTTTAGTTCCCAAAGGCTTATTTTTAACTGTAACAGGAAATTTTCTTGAATGCTTTTTTTTAATCTTGCTGAATTCTCAGCTTTAAGGAGGAGTGTACTTCAACAGGGAGCTTCCTGATTCAATTATGTGTTGTGTGGAGAAAGTTAATTTGATTTCATAGAGTATCTTCATATTCTTAGAATAAGAAGGTAGCTGGGAAGTTCCTGACATGTTTTTTCTTGGAAAAGCCATTTTGACTGCTTTGACCTCACTTCATAAAGTCTTTCTTCCTCTCTTTTTGTTCTCTGAATCCACTCTTGTCAAGGCATGTTAAGAAGCAAATAGTTGACTTGTAGGCAATAATATATTCTTGGGGTGGGGGGGGGAAGCTAGGTTAAATCCCAGGTAAAAGTTACCTTGGATTGTAACACTATTCTGTTGCATTTATAGTGTGTGTGTGTGTCCCCATTTAGTAACAGTGTTAGAAAGCATATCCTAAAGTGTTTATGCTACTGGAAAGGTTTGGTACTTTGTTAGAGAACAGAAATTCTGTAAGCAGCAAAACATGCATTTGCATTTATTACTAGATGTTAGTATGGATGAAATGTTTTATGAGAGTTCTTTTGTTAGGCTCTTTTTAAAATGTATTTGAAGCTGTTAAAATTTCCTTTGAAAAAACAGAGTTCAACAGCACTGGAACACTTTTGATTATTCAAGAATGGACCATAAAAAAAAAAAAAAAGAATTGATTGCTAAGAGTTTGTTAGCAAGTCCATTCTGTCTGCATTAGATTACTTTAATGTAGTATATGCCACTATGTAATGCTTCTGTAAATCTTTATAATTGTATGCAATGATGGAAGAGAATGATACGTTAGCTGTGTGCATCCTCTCAAGGTAGCTGTCAGGGGGAAAAATTGGAAAAGGGCCAAAACACACAGGTAGGACAGTGGCTGGAGGGAGTGCTCTATTTTAGGCAACAATGGCTGTTTGACTGCAGCTGTTCAGTGTGTTGACACACAACAATTTCAATACCACTTGTCTGTGCAACTTGCTTTTGAAATCATGTGTGTTTCTGTGGCAGGCAAGTAATCTTCAAAATGCTCTCCTGTAATACAGAGTTAAAAGGAGAATCTTCTAAGGACCAATGTAACATGCTACACATTCATTATCTGGTTGCTGTGGTGCTGTGTATAGTAACAGTTCATGTGTCTGCTCTAATATATGCTAACCAGGGGTGTGCAGAGCACTAATCTCGTTGCCCTCATTCCTGACTCAAGAGATGACTGCTATAGCAGCCTGTCTGCTACACTTGCTGCATGCAAATTGAGGCATCTGTTCTGGTGGAGCAGGGGTGGAGAACCTCAATTGGGTTTTTACCTGTTTAAGATCTCTCCAAGAGGATGATATTCCAGTAGGATGGTCTGCATCATCTTTGGCTTCTGTGGGCTCTGCCATCACTTCAACCAGCCTGGACTCCAGGCCCCATGCTACTGTTACTCTGGTTCCTTCAAACAGTGTCATTGTGTCAAACACTACAAAATTAAAAAAAGCTGCAATGTTAGTATAACCTGGAAACTTCATATGTTTTCCTGAAAAAATCAGTAACATTAAGCTAATAACTCTGTTTTCCTACTAGAATTCTTACTACTCTTCAAAACCAAGTGATACTTACCCTCACAGACGCATTAGAGGACACCTTGAAAATGCAGGACCCATCAGAAGACACTTTAAGGTACAGATCAGCTTTTATCAGATGTATGTTACATAAAATGGTGATTCGATCTTGTTGAGTTTGGTAACAGGAGACACATTTTTGAAGGTATTTAAATGCCGTGACAAATACTGTCATCATAGCCTAATTGTTTCCATTAAAATAATGGGAGGCTTACCTTTTGGGAGGTAAGAGGGCTGGCAGTGGATTGAGCAGGGTTGTCCAGTATTGCGTCAGTGCGGTTGAAATAAATAAGTTAACTGCAAAGTTGAGAATGAGAATTACAGAAATTAGACAATGACTAGAAAGCTCATCTATCAAAAAACCAAGCTGGTCAGCTTGCTTTCCCTCACCTGATGCATGCGGAAGTCTGAACTATTTCCCAAAACTGTGAGGCATGAATTGTATTGCTTTCAAAATTGTATTACTGTTATTTTCTTAGCCCTTTCATACAGGGATTTCTGGGGAACTAATCTCATGTGTATACACTGTATACTGCTATCTATGCATTAAAAAAAAAATTAAAAAGCTGTGAAGCTTTATTCTCAGTGCCTCAAGATGATAAAGGGGCAGGCAACTGTGCTTCTTCCTGGGGTAGTGCAGTGGCTTTCTAGTGCCTTTTTATTGTAAAATGTATAATGGGTTTGATTGTAAAATGTATAATGGGTTTAGCAGAAAAACAAAACCCACTTCCTTTCCTGTTGATAGTGTCATTCTATGCATGGATCCAGTTAGAGCTCTTTATATTAGAAAAGTATTAATCAAGTCGAACAATTAATCTCAGTCTACCTTAAAATTACCCCTACTTATTTAACAGGTGTGTCCTCAAGTAAAATAATACACAGAATAGGTAGTCATCTTTCCTATTTTGTAGATAGTGAAGTTGAAATAAAGTTTTGGTGGCTAAGTTAAGTAGCTGGCATTTTGGATGAAATTCTGAAATGGGGGGCAGTGTAGGTGTGGGGTTTGTTTGGTGTGGTGTGTTGGGTTTTCTGGTTTTGGATTTTTTTTTCCTCCCCCTTCAGACTAAACATAAGAGAACTGTTGGATAAAAAGGCTTTCGGGCTCTCCCATTTAGGTGTACTTTGCCAGTCGGTCTTAGTCATATAGCTAAGCTAACACTACCAAAAAATGCTAACTTTATTCTGCTGAAAAAAAAAAAGTCCTTTTCCAAGCGTAATCACTATCTCTTCAGTATTGTCAGCCTATAGGGCATAGAGGGATCTTTAGCACTGGCTGCCATATCACTGAGGCAGTGTTGGTAGTTGACGTACTATAAAGAAAATGGAAGGCTGTCTTCATTTACATCAGCCTACAGTTCTGCTGGAGACTTTGCAGGCGTGAAAGTGTCCACTTAAGTTGTCATCACACATGTGTATGAATATTGCTGTATCAAATGAT